CCCCCCCCCCCCCCCCCCCCCCCCCCCCCCGGTCTAACGACGGGGGCGGGCAGAGGAAGAGGCCAAGGCGATGCCGGGGCCCCCTCGCCTCCCTCGGAGCCAGCCAGGGCCTTCCCTCCTGGGGGGAGAACACTGACTCCCCCTCAGGTAAAGGCCCCGCGACCCCCACCCGCCATTGTCCGAGCCCCCCCCCCAATCCTTCCTCACCTCCAGTTCGGTGTCTCCGGGCTCGGCCACGCCGATGATCTCGCTGGGCAGCTCGGCCAGGTCGGTGACCCGGATCAGCCCGTCGTGGAGAAAGATGGTCTCCTCCTTCACCGACAGCCACTGCGCCGAGTCGGCGGCGGTGGCCGCCGCGGAGCCCGAGGCGCCCGCCGGGGAGCCCATCCAGGAGGCCGGGCGGGGGACGGCGGCACCTGCCTCCCAACCTCCTTCCTCGGCGGTGGCGGCTGAGGAGAAGCGGGGATGCTCCGGCAGGCCGGGCGGCGGGAGGAGGGGGGGGGAGGAGGGAGGAGGAGGAGGAGGAGGAGCGGCGGAGGCGGCGCCCTCAACCCCCCGCCATGATGGGCGGAGGAGGGGGCGGGGCCTACTCACGCGCCCGGCTGACGGCACCACGCCATCTTGGAGGCGCGCGAGCGGACCTCAAGGCGGGAGGGGGGAGGAGGGCCCGGCATGCCCCGCGCCGCGCGACCCAAGAGCGGGGACGCGCGCGTTACCCCCGCCCACTGGGCGTGACAGAGCGGTGTCTCCCTCGCCCCGGACGCCGCTCATTGGCTGCCCCGCCATAGACCCGCCCGGTCCGGGTCGCCTCAGAGCGCTTGTGGTCCCCGCCTGGGAAGGAGGTGAGGGTCGCCGGCTCCTTTGGCGAATCTTAAGCCGGGAGGGCAAAGGGGAGCGGGGATGGGGGCAAGCGAGCGGCCTGTTCTGCCTTGGCGGGGGCGGTTCCCATCCGTTTCTCAACCGTGGTCGTTTTTAAGAGAGGTGGACTTCAATTCCCAGAATTCCCCAGCCAGCTGGCTGGGGAATTCTGGGAGTTGAAGTCCACAAACCTTGAAAGTGAATAAGGCTGACAAAGCAGTGAAGCACCAGGCCCCAAACCAGGAGACTGGGAGTTCTAGTCCCGCCTTAGGCATGAAAGGCAGCTGGGTGACCTTGGGTGAGTCCCACCCCACCCAGACAAGCCTACCTCACAGGGCGGTGGTGGGGAAGGGAGGACTATGCCACCTATTTACCACCTTGAATTATTTACCAAAATAATAAAAATCTAGGATGAAAAGGTCTAATTTTTTCCCCATATATAGCAATTTAAAAAAAACTTTTAATTTTAACTTAATTTTGGAAAATCGATTTATTTTAGAAAAATACTGCCGATACTATAGCGGAAGGAAGTATTAATACTCTCCTAGTCTTGTTAAAAAAAATGCTCAGGATTGTAGTAGGAATATAAAATAAAAAAAATGTCGGTTTCCCCCGAGAGCAGTGAAGAAACACGATTTTATCATTTTTGTGCCTTTTGTGTTTGCATGCAGTTAATAGGCTTAACAAGGTGATAGTGTACTTTGCACATAACATCCAAGCTGATATTTAATCCGAGGCCTTCCTTTGCAGCAAGAAAAAGTGGGAAACAAACCTTGCTTAAAAGTGAAGGACTGCCCTTCATTTTCATGGCCACGCCATGTCTTCAGAGGATGGGCATTTTATCAAGAAGGTCAGAGGCACGCAAAACTTTTACAACAGGGTCAGATCCTTGATTCAACCCAGCACCGTCATCTCTTTCAACTCTGACACACAGATGTCAAACCACGATCAAAGCAGATATTGTCCGAACTGATAAATCAGTTGTTTTTTCAATGATGAACAATAGCAATAGCCACACAAGGCAGATTCAGGAACCATCGTTTGAGACAAAGCAATAATCTGACAGCTGAAATGAAGGTGTTGCTGTCCACTTCTGGACGATGCTATCAATAGGATGACTGCTAAGTAAAGGAGAGCCAAAAACAAACACAAAAAAATTCTGCCCTTTGAAAATTTTTGTTATAAATGATGCGAGAGCAGGTCCATTCTTGAATCAGTTACCAAAGATTGGGAAGACAAACCAGTGAAATTGTTTTAAATAACCATAGAGGTGTTTCTAAATGGATTTGGTGGTACTTTAGGGAATTATCTAGGAAATAAAATTATTTGTCTCACCAGCTAATTTTGGCTCTTCCGGTGGGATAGCGCACAAAGGCTTGGCCACAGAAACTACAGTGAGTAAATTTGGTAAGCTTTATCTTGCAATGTTATCTCAGAAAGCATAACTTAAGGAACATTGGGTGCTATCAAAACAGCGTGTTCAAAATAGCATAATGAGTATGCAGGTTTCCCACTGAATCAACACTTTATCTTATAATCCAAGCCTTAAACAATAATTTATACAATCAACAGGGCCTGCTGGAATATGCAAATTTTCCTGAGAGGATTGGGCTGGTTGAACAATGCAAGAGAACATCTGGTCAGCTGTATAGTCTATTTTTATTTCAACGATTAAAATAAAACTCAGCTGCATGCATCTTTAACATACCACCAATTATTTTTTTATAAAATTTAATGCTAGTTAATTAGCTTAGGAAAAATAGCTATTTACATGCTTGGAACTGTTTTGTTTGTAATGTTCATGATCAGAAGTGGTGAGGGGAGGAAGGGAACCAAATAATGCTGGTTGGGCAATTCTGGGACTAAAGTCCACAAATATTAAAGTTGCCAAGGTTGGACACCCCTGCCACTGGGCCATATGTCGCCCCCAGAAAACAGGAAAGGGGTCCCACCAAATAGGGTACTTCTGAATAGACACAGATCCTTCTCTGTGGTGGTCTAATTGTTTTGCTTTGATTTAGAATGGTATTCGAGAATTTGTTTTCCACTTTAAATTATTTTGCCGATTACTTGCTGCTTGTTTCCCTTCTGATTTTTAGCTGAGCTTCACACACATTTTAGCTGTTTTAATCCCTGAACTGTATTGTTAGTAGAAAGCTATGTCGATTGACCCTAAATTAACATACATTTACATAGGATGAAATATCATTCTATAATGGGATCAAGGATGCTTTCAGGGATGTGCATTTGGGGCTGATCTGAGAGTTGATAAATTGGGCAGGGCCGAAGTCTCATCACGCAGACTCCTTTTTAACTATGACTGTACCTTTGATTACACTGACAGGATATTTACCTCCCTGTAGAGATCATCTCAACATAAAGGGTGATACAACACATTAACATTCAGTAACACCAGTCTAAGGAGGAAGTAGTTCATAACCCTGTGACCTTGATTAGTGTCCTACTAGTGAAATACAGAAGAAAACAATATACTGGAGGACTATAATGTGTGTTTTAGTGGTGAGAAGTTAGCATAATATTGATCTAATGTTCCTGCAATACCTACAACCCATTTAAAAACAAGTGTAATCATTCCTAAATTATTTTGGCTTGAAAAACCCTAAATATCTGCCTCTGATTTGGCTTCTGAAAAGTTTGGCCTCTTGTGGGAACACCCAAGTGCCCCCCAGGATCATATAATTCCATCCTGTGATTAACTCGAGACCACCATGAGATTTTAAAGGAGGACATCTTTTCGTCTCACAAATTCACATGCATCATGCTTTGGGCCACATAATTTGACATGGCTACTCCTTATTCCGGTAATTGGCTCTCTCCTACTTGTTTGCACCAATAGACAATGAATGACTGATCATCCTCCGTTCAGACACACCACATCCGAAGAGCTTCCTAGTGAGTAAACATGATTTTTCCAAAAAGACCTAATATGAATTGTTTTTATTGAATGGGAACTAAGCTATATGTAAATTCCCCATTTATGTTCAGGTTCATTTTGTATCAATTTACACAGCACTAAGTTGTGATCTACTAACTAATCGCTGGGTTCAGCCAACACAGCACATGAATCAAGGATTATCTTTTTTCACCCTGTTTGACTTAAAATGCTTTACTGGTGGCTCAGCATTGCCAGATATATGGCAAAACCCTGTCTGTGGGGAGAAATGCTACGTTTCTATGGCCTTTGCTTAAAGCCAAAATAATATCCACTGTTCTTTATATATATATATTTCAAAGACGGGAGTTATAAATTCGGTACAAAAATAAGCACTAAATGTATCCTCTGTCCTTGATTTCCTGTACAATTAATCAATAAATCAAGCTTGGTTATGACAAATACTTCCCAAGTCTCTGATTCAGGCCAGTTCTTTGGGGACTAAAAAAATGCACACACATCCCCCTCCCATAAACCATGTTTCTCTTTTACGCTTTTCATGCCAGGATAATTTCCGAAATGTAGGAACCAAGATAGTTTCAATTAAGTGTTCAATACTTTAACATAGAACATGAAATTTCAGTAGCTGTAATGTGGCTGGAGCACGCTGTGAAACACTTGTATTAATTGCTGAATATCTCGCATGTTTTAATGGAGCTCTTCACTTCCAGTTTAATCAAAGAGAAATTTTAAAATTGCTTCAGGGTACATTTCCCCCAAACATTTGTGCTTTGGGAGTGAGGGGGAAGTGTGAGTGAACCCCAAAATTAATGGAAAGTTTATCACTTTTCACTGACCTAGATATTTTAGGGGATAGAATGACAAAACAAACAAGTCCCATTTCAAAACAAAGTACTTCAATGCTGCTGAGTCAGCTGACACCAAGCGCATTCATCCTACCTGTCTAACCTCATGCCAGGGGAGCAATTAGCACTACCAACAGCCAACCACAAGGCTTGGTCCAACTCATCCGGTGTCCTTCCTCACTGTTGACTGGCCTCCAGGATACTGACGGGTGATTTCCTGTCATTTCCAGATTGTTTTGCTGAGCACACCTCTGCACAAAGCAGCAGAACGGGCTCTGCTATCTGGGGAGGTCACTTTTGCAGATTTCTCTGTTAAGGACCGAACAGCTAATTTTTAGCATTTCTCACTAAACGTTGTAACTTCGCTAATACCCATCGTTGCAGCAAATACATACTGCGAGCCCTAAATAATCCACTGTCTGAATCACGCTTCTCATTTTAACCCAGTTTATTCCAACCAGGGACTTGAGCAACCAGGAGCCTTGGCCTCTGAATGACCCCAGCCTGCCGTAAAGCTCAAATTGCCCGCCTTCGCCTTGTGCGCCTGACTTGACGGGAATCCAAACTGGGCCAAGCGCCTTGCAGCCTATCATTGCGCTGCCCAAAAGGAATCACGAAGAGCTTGCTTGGCAAGACTCTCCCACAGAGCCAGAGCGGGAGATGCTTCCTGCCTGGAGTTTGGTATAAGATGGGCGGCTACAGAAACGCTTTGAATAGAATCAAAGCACGCTCCAATGCTGTCACGGTCCTGAGGCTTTGCAAAACTGACCACTAGCTGGAGGGGTAATCAGCCCCCCATTTCTTATCTGTGGCAACCATCAGGATGGCTATACCAGAATGGCTGGTCCTAAATGGTAGCCTGTTGACTAAGTTAGTAACTGGCTGGATTCACACAACCACCTTCTGAACTGCAACCCAATAAAAACGAAATGAGCTGGAGATCCAGCGAACTGGAGCCCAGAAAGTGAGATTCACACCTGACGTCTGTCGAGGGGACACCTAGTTGGGGAAAGCTGGATTAGATGCCTCTCGCGTTGCTTGGGGCGTTATGGCTTTCCCAGATTTCAAGCCACAAAACCTCCTTTTCCTCGCTTAATGTTTAATTGACGCAATTGCCTACAACCGAGTGCCTCTGTAGGGCTGTGATTCAAGCATTGCACACAAGCTCCCTCTCCTGACCAAAAGGTGAAGAAAACCCCACACGACACCACTTATTTACTAAGCAATCATGCCAGTTGAACATGGACACACAAATACCGCAAGCGCCCCGAGGCTAGGGTCAAGTCTTCAGCACAGCTATAGCTTGGACCCCTGGTGGCCTAGCAGTTGGTGAAGTCTAGGGACAATCTCTGAAGCAGTAGCCGCCTCCAAAGTTTTCTTTGCACCCCAGTAGGGTGCAAATTCTGCTTCAAAACGGTCCCGAGCACTGAGAGGAGGAGGAGCCTCCCGTAAAGATGGCAAACTCTCATCCCACCTCAAGAAAGAGAGCTACGATCAGACACAGAAGTTCAGCAAACGCCCCCTCACGTTTTCAACCATCAAAGTTTCTGCTTGCACGCAGACAAACCAATATACAATTCTAGAAAATAAAACCAGCAGAGCTTTTAATGACTTTTTTTCCCCCAAAGATTTTACTGTGGTATTTTCAGACTATTTAAAAGACCAATTTGTGAGGATAAACTCCATTGGAGAGTGAAAAGGTGGAACGCAGGTAGCCCCGGAGCTGAGGGACTTTCTTGATGACCGGCAGAAGCTGGGAGTCTACCGTCTTCTGGTCTGCCTTGCGCTGATCTGCAATCTCGTATTTCTGGGGGAAAATAGAAGTGCTACTTCAGCCATTTATTCTGGCAGTTCCCGGCCTTCCCTGCTGCCATTTCTAAACAGCAATCCTTGTCAACGTTATTTCCCAACGTGCATCCAAAATTGATCTATTTTGCTTTCTTAACTACACCCCCTTGGAAGAGGCTGTTTGGACTGTGACCGTATCACTAAATCATTCTGCAGATTCTGATATAAACATTAGGAAGAAGGTCAGCAAGATAGGTAATTAAAGATCATGTTAACTTTCTATTTCATCTGCTTTCTTAAATGCAAAGATACTGAAATGCTTTTGGAAATCTGTCTACAGATTCATAAACCAGGAGGGGCATCAGGTGCCAGCCTGCCCCCTTGTTGGCTTTTGAGTTACGCCGAATGCAACCTTGGAAGCTCAAGGCTACGAGCGCTGTACCTACCGCTTTCTCAGTATCAAAAATTTCGCCCTCCTGATGTTTGGGCTTGCGCAGCTTCTTCTTCTTGAAGTAAACGTCACTGAGGTGCTTTGGAATTTTGACCCCTGAGATATCAACCTTAGTCGAAGTGGCAATGACAAACTTTTGGTGAGCTCTGCGCAGTGGGACACGGTTGATAGCCAAGGGCCCTGAAAACAGAGGACAGAATAATGTACACAGAGAGCTCAGATGGCCAGAGAACATGTATTCCTTCCAGCTGGTGAAGATCCTCCAACTCCAGAAATCTTTTATTATGATCATTTGCTGCCTTTTTTCCTTTTTATATCAAAACTTACTACGCGGAATGGTATAAAATTTAAAAGGACCTTTAACAAGGAAGAGAAAGAGGCTCATAAACGTGAGGTGAGCTTACCTGTCACAAGCAGCAGTCCACTTCCAAGCTGCTTCAAGAAAACCACCCGCTGGAAACAGAACGGCAGAGGGGAGAGAGTCAGTCGTTGGAATCTCTGCCAGCCTCTTGAATGCCCCCAACAAGAGGAGCCCCAGAGGCCCCCGTTACCTTGCCCCGGTGGCGCCCAGTGAGAAGGATCACCACCGTTCCTGGGGAGATCGAACCCCGCAGCCGCCTCTTGTGGAGGGCAAAATTCTTTTTCCCATGGCTCAGGAGTTTGCGGGGAACGTCCTCCGTGGGGTAGTATCTGGGCTGCAAGGAAGAAAAGAAAGGCCTGGATTCAGAGCTCTGTTTATTTTTATTTTACTTGGTTTACCAATTGCTTACAAAATAATAGGTGTAAGTAAAAACATAGTTATGAATACATGGATACACGTAAGAAAAATAAGAAGCAATGGGACAGGGACGGCAGGCATGTTGGTGCGCTTATGCACGCCCCCTGCAGACCTCTTAGGAAAGGGGTGAGGTCAATAGCAGAAAGTCTAAGAATCATAAGAAAGTTAAGAATCAGACTTTTGAAGACCGAGGTGGACAGCTCTTTCGGCCGCTTCATTTGGGCCACCAGCTCTTACCATCTTGCGAAGTTTGACCACCCGAGTGCCTCCGTTCTTATCTCCCCCGACGGGCTTTGTAACAGTGGCTGCCTCCTTCTCTTTCTTCTTCTTTTCTATCTGGGGGAGGGAAACAACACCAAAATTGTACCATATCGTTCCTTCCCCAATTTGACTCCCCCCATCTGGGCAAGAGTGCCCACCCAAAGTCTCCCCTCCCCCTCCAATGAGGTCCCTGGTATCCCCAACGCCGATCCCTTCACCGTCACAGCCCAGTCTCTCTTTCTCTCTCTGTTTGACTTTGGTGAATCAAACTTTGCAGGCAATGAAGAAAACCGCATTTGTGCCCAGAGCGACCCTGTGATCTGCATCAACCCAGTTCAATGTCCTCCATGCTCAGTGGGGAGTTATCTGGTTTACCTCCAGTAGGGTTAAAGGCAGACCAAGAAAAATTGGTCCACGCACTGTGGCATCCTTTGGCAGATTACCACCACTCGTTTTTGAAATGCTTGTCTTCCGTGGGTTGATCCACCGTTTCTCAACCATAGCAGCTTGAAGTTGGCTGGACTGCAGCTCCTAGAATTCCCCAGCCATCCTGGGAGTTGCAGTCCACCCAACTTCAAGCTGCCAGTTTAGATCAAGCTCTTATCCAGCTCTTAACACCGAGAGTCGCAAAGGCTCTTCTCTCCTCATACCTTTGTCTCCGGCGCGTTGTATTTCCGCTTGTACATGGCCTTTCGTGCGTACATGGCCGACCGGGAATATTTCCCGATCCCTCGGGCCAGCACCGGATTGCGGCTGGCATGGACCTTCCGGACCCTCCTGGTTTTCTTCTCGCCTGCCATCTAACCAAAAAATAAAAAAATAAAAATGGGGAAACCTCCATTTGCAACCCAAGGAAAGCCACAGAGGGATCCAGACTCTGCCTCTTGGTACTCCCTCCTCCAGGCACAATTCTCTACATTGCAAACCTGTTGCACGTCTACCCCAGACTCCGATACATGCTTTGCATTTCTTTATTTTTGCAAAGACGTTAAGTCTACAAGGAAAGCTAACTTGTATGATAGACCCACTTATGCTAAGTTAGGAAGCATCAATGATTGGGCAGCGAGTTCCATTCCAACGAGCAGAATCTTTGCAGCCTACAGAAGCTGCATTCCGGTTAACGACTTGAAAATCCCAAGGTTATTGGCCGCTATAGGAAGAGGAGCTTTTCCACCCGATGCACGAGACCTCCAGGACCGGCGGAAGGCTGGGGAGGAACAGCCCCTCGTTGCGGGCAGGGACTGAGTCGGCTTCCCCGGCCAGGGAAGGAGGCTACTCCAACGGCCGAGGGTCGTTCCGGGCCAAAAACCTGCCTCTTTGGGGTGGGCATTCCCGGGCGCCCCCTCCTCGCTGTCAGGGGCCTAGGCGGAGCGGCTCCGCGACGCTTCGGAAGGATCCGGCAGCCCGGGGAGAGCCAGCCGGCCTAATCTTTCGCTCGGCCCCAGCAGAAGCAGACCAGCGCCGCCCGCCCAAAGCCCCCGGAGCATCCCCGCCCGGCCTATGCCCGGCCCGGTGGTTCTCCGAGGCGGATGGCGGTGGATGGGAATGCCGGGCCCCGGGAGGAAAACGCCACGGCCGCACCATCCTTACCTTGGGCAGAAGGGAAAAGAGGCAATATCCGGGGCCTCGGCGCTGAAGAGCAGGCGCGTGACGTCACCGGGCGTGCCCCCAAGCACTCTGGGAGAGGTAGTTCGCTTCGGACCGGGCGCCCTCCCGAGAACTAACTCAGAATTCAAGGCGGTTTCCCTCCGTCTTTGGTGCCTTTCACGTTTTATCTCCTACAGGCCTTATTACGTGGTCGTTGATGCCACTGCTGGCTGGAGAATGCTGGGAATTGAAGTCCACAAGCCTTAAAGTTTGAGAAACCCTGATTTAAAGGCGACCTATCATAACAGAAACACTTTCCCATATCTTGATAAATAGCTCTGATTCCTAAGGTGCAATAATAATAATAATAATAAATAATGAATACATATTATATTTTATTTCTTTCCTGAGCAAGGCCGCCCA